GCGTCTCCCTCGTGCTCCCTCACTGGTCCCACCGCCATCTGGTCGAGCGCTTCGGTGTTCCTGTTTCACACAGTCATAACTCACGTAAATCGTTGCTTCTCAGCTTTGTGACAGCAGAGCTGTGATTTACGCCAGCTGATCACAGCGTATCTTTCAGGAAAAGGATGTGAGTCAAGTGGGAGGCTAAGTACTGTGATCCGGAACAGGGCCAAAAGTAGGTCAAAGGTCAAATACGTCAAACTCTGTAGGGATATGTGAGCTAATGTATCCGTATTACATGCTAACTACATCTGTTTGACTCCCAAAGCTGAGCGACTCAACAACTCCTGCACCAACACCTTTTACATTTGACTACTTTCAACTTCCGCGGTGCTTTTTCAAATTTGTAATTCTACCCTTTGGTGTCATACGATGAATTTGAGACATAACACCCATACAAACGTAAAATTTAACATCGCAATCGCAGGGGGATGATAAAGTAATCATAATACATGTAAAAATCAAAATAATTTTTATGTTAATAAGCGCTGCATTTGCAACGTTTTGTGCCGTTTCATTGGCCCACCCGTTAAGGAGGAGATGGGGTAAATGGAGACATACAGAATCTTTTTTTAATGTTTCCCAAAATGTGAAAACTTGTAGATTAACATGCAAAAAGCAGATTTTATTTAGTAAATATTCACACAGCCTAACAACATCAGTTCAACTATCTCAACTCTGTAGCTGCTCTCTTATTCACAAGCAGGGGTCAGTACAGCACGTAGATCTACGTACTTGATTTTGTTACAGTAGACGCCTTTCTAGGCCCCAAAGGTGTCTGTATCGCATCCTGGCAGCTTTTGCTTGCTAGGTGCAGACATCAACCCCTGCACTATGGAGGGAAACACTCTCTGATAAGAACTGCACTACATTTGCATTTAGCCATAATTCTAGCTTCGTACTCCAGCTATATTTACAGTCGCTGTGTAATTTAATTTGCTTATTTTACATTTGTAACTAACTATTTAAAACACATTTCCTCGCAAATACATGTTTCCATCGTGTCTGCATGTAGATATCTAAATTAACAATATAAACTACTATTTTAATTCACATTTGTTTGATAACTTTCATTGCTTTTTTTGGTTTTTATTAATAATTCTAGCTAAGTATAGCTCATATTTTTAGCTGGCAAGCTTAGACTGTCTATGCCCATATTACTAGCTAACAGTGTGACGTATTAGCCATGCTTTAAGCAAGCTATTTTGCACATTTTACACTTTTTGACTACTAAATATTAAATTAAAATATAGTTTATGGATTTACTTTGGAAGTCTGTTATTTCTATTTGTCACTAACGTTCAACTTTTGCTCTTTATCTCTTTTGGTAACTAAATAAAATAAATATCTAAATAAATATCATCTGTATGCTGCAGAACTGTTGTAAAACCTTCACAATCATCAGCCAAGTGTCAACTGGCGTGATAGGTTTAATATAATTGTTATTAATATTTATTGATTACAAAATATTTCAAGATAAACTATACTTTATGAATGCATGTATAAGTTTGGTATGTACATGTGAGAGACTGTTATTGAGCATTACAGAACAGAGGCCATTATGTTCAACCTGTGCTGCATCCTTCTGTTGAATGACAATAGCTCCATCTATTGGCTTTTCACTAACATTACAATAACTGAGGCTCAATAACAGCATGCATATTTTCACAGGAGCTTTAATAGTGATGAAAATAACTCTTGATACCTGACAAAGATGATTTTGACTTTGGATGGAGCGCTCTTGATGATGGAGGACGCGTTCTGATGACTGTGGCCGTACAGAACTTGTCCGTTGATCTGTAACACAACATAAAGTTTATTGCTCAGAAAAGCATTTACAGAATTTGAGACATTTTTTTAAAAAAAAGCAAATGAACAGTGAAACTAATTTTATACGCATCTCACCTCCAGCAGCTCATCCCCAACAACCATACGTCCGTCCCTACCGGCCGCCCCGCTGGGGTCTATTCCCACCACGAACACGCTCATGCGTGAGCGGTCCCTGTTCCCTGCCAGGCTGAGGCCCAGGCCTGTTTTGCCTTTCTCCAGCTCAATCATGTGGAGGACACCTGGGAGGCTGCCATAACGCTGGATTATGTTCTCTGAAAGAGGCAGGCGAAGTCGCGGCAGACAGATGTAAGCTGACAATACAAGTAAAACAGCGCCAGACTGGTCTCGAGCCCTATCGCTCCGTGTAACGTTTCCCGAAAGAAGAGCAGATATTTGAAATGTGTAAATTGCAGAGGAACCAAAAGTAAAAGGTAGAAGTTTGTCAGCAGAATTTTCTAGTTCAGCTTCACCCTCTCCCATTTTTGTCTCAATCTTGGCTCTTTTGTTCTGGTTCCAGTCTCTTTTCTTTGTCTCGCCACCTCTCCTGTCTCTGGTGTGTTAGATAGCCACTGTTCAGACCAGTGGGCTCCTGTTGTTCTGGGCTCCCTGCCACTGTTGAACCATCAGTCCTGTACTAATCTCCACAACTCACCTCCCCGGGCTCAACCTCATCAATCTTATTCCTGCAGGATGGGCTCTGTCTATCTCGCTCTCACACACACACACACACACAAACGCACACAAGGACACATATACACATCTACTCCACAATCCCAGGTGTTTGGAGGCTGTTCTTTATGCTGATTGCTCGCTATCTTTCTCTCTGGAGCAGTGAGTTCATCCTACAGTTGACATCAGAGTGTCTGCAGGATGATAACGGCCTAATTGGGACACTGAGTCCTTCAGGTTTTTGCTGAGGCACAACCAGCTCAAGCATGTGAATCAATGCCCGTTTATGCCATGCAGGAGACTTTATGGGCAGACATGTAACTTGGAGGACCTCTTGTGGCCATTTGCTGTTACTACATAGTGTAGTATGTAAGCATATATTTTTACTTCCTCCCACTACAAACTGGGTTAAAATATTCCTGCTATATGTGATGCAGGATTACATTTACATCAAACATTTACAACCTTGTGATATTTCACTGCAAAATTAAACACCCTATTGCAAAAACACACAATAAAAACCAGACAAACTAAACTCACTCCAATTATATCCGTACTCGTCCTCGGGCTCCTCCCCCTCCTCCTTTTTCTCCTCAGCAGTCTCAGCAGGACTGCCAGGAATCTCTGTCAGCGTGTCTGTATCAGTCTCTCCCACATGAGGCACCACTGGCAGGGTGAGGACAGCGCTGGTGGGAGATGCCTTTGCCGCTTCACGCTTCGCCAGCTGTCGCGCCACAGATGGAGGCAGAAAACAGTTGATGAGTGAAAGGTAAAGAAGATAAAGAAGGTTTCATCTCTCCATTAATGTTCAAATCAATTGGCTGTCAGGTTCACAGCGAGAGGAAGGCGCCGACGCAATCAACAAGAAGCCATATGCTTGGTTTCCTTTTACATGTGCGTTAGATGGAAGTTATTGATGCTATGAGCTCTGATCACAACTAGGATAGCAACACTACTCCAGCTCGCACCAAAATGTGTATTTTTGCTACTTTTTCTTTTTCATTTAATGAAAAGCAGAGATCAAAATTAGAGAACACCTTACATGCCTAAATGTCCCGTATTTAAGTCACTGCTTCTTCTAATAAATGTAACAAAATCCATGAACAAGAGAGATGGAGTTAGCAAATAGCTAATACTGGCTAATACGCTAGGCCAGTATAAAAGCAGGTCTCTTGTAGGGGGGGCCTTCTCTCTAAATGACTGTAACACAACTAACTAACACAACAAAACGATTGTTATCAATTTCCCACACTGCTCTGGTTTGATCTTGGTCTCCTCCACAGTTTAGCCACTGCTTGACTTTCATAGCCACAGCTAGGTTCAGGATCAGGATTCTGGGCTAGCCATCATGCATTATTTTAATGCTCTCACATTCAACAAGTGCTTCTGTTTCACGGGGTGACAAGAGGCACCGGCCTCCATAAAAAGTCTTGGCTGACTCTGTTGCCGTAGAAGCTTCTCATAGACATTACTCAAGCACCAAACCATGAAGCCCCGTCCTCCAAACTGACTCCCCTCTGCTCCCGTTTGACCCCGAACATAAAACCTCGCGTCGAAACTGAACCTTGCTGTCATCACTACAGTTCTTCTTCACCGTCCATGTGATGCGTCCCTCTGTGGCCTTGTGATTATTTCTCCCGATGATAGGCTTGGTCGCTGCATATTCATTTTTTTTTTTAAGTGGACGACTGGTGTTACAGTAAATTTTGATCTCTACTATGTAATTATTAATTTAATGATCATCTCTAAATTTCAAATATTCACCCATCAGTAATTCATAAGCGCACTTACCTGTAACAACTCTGACTTCTGATCACTTCATTCATTGTTGATCTTAAATATAATGCTCAAAACTCAAAATCATCCATTTAAAACCAGAGTTTTGATTCTGTCACGCTTCCGAAAACAGACTAAAAGCAAAAAAGGCAAAAACTAGAGTAAAGGAAGAAAGATGTTCACGATTCCACAAAAAGAAACACACACACAGGAAGTCGGACGGTGGAGGTGTTAGGCCACGCATATGCACGCACAGCACGTCAGGACATCTCCAATTCACGGGCTGCCGTGTGACACGCTGACATATTCGTGCAAGCATACACGGAAATGGAAGGTGGAAAGCACAACACAGAGACCCACAAACCTTAAACGGGGTAGGAGTGAAAGGGTTAGTTGGGGAGAGGCGGAGGAAAAGTCTACTGTGACTGTCACCCTCCTACGGAGAAGACAAAAAGGGCAACTTTAGCAGACAGCATCGTTCTGACAGGTCAAGTCAAAGGCGTGTGCCAGCCTTGCGGTCGACAACATATCTCGAGTTTATGGTGAAAGTTTTTTTTTTTTACTGAATCTATTTTAACGCCGTGAGCGACACCTACTGAAATCTGACAACAAACACAACAACACTGATAGGCGATCTGCGTGCTCGGTAATTAGAAGTACCAACCTTGTCCTTGTTGTCCCTTCTTGCGGCTGCAGCAGCTCTCTCCTCACTCGAGTCTGTTATCGATGACTGTTGCATTTAAGACAGACATGAAGGTAAATCACTACTCTGCACCAGATAGCAACAACAAAAAAAGGACTTTGAAATTAATTTACGTCACGTATGGACAGCAAATTCATAACATCCACTTCAATGTCACCAGATAGTGAAAGATACTGTATCACAGTGCGGTGCGACGCACGGGCAGTAATCCCATAAATATTAATGGGTCCACGCTAAGTCTTAAGTGTTCGGAATGACTAAAGCTGTGCTCGGTATGCTGTGTTATGATAAACCATCTGTTTTGGAAATCCGCATTTCTCAAATAAAGGCAAAACTTTCACTGCTTCTGCTAACTTGAAGCTTGGCAAAGCCGAGAACTGAAAGCACACAAACACTCGGACATGCCAAAACACTGATGTGTCAAGTGAGGAAAACGTGCCCGGCACCACGCGCCCGTCCAAGCTTGACGATTTCTTGAATGATCAAGCTTGAAATGTTTTCTTCTTTGTTTGCCAGAAACTTGCAGTTTTTAATTCGTCACACAACAGTATTTGTGTTGACTGCCGACCGTCTAATCAAGTTGTCTTTTTTACATTGGCAACGAGGCACTCGGGACAATGTTGGAGGGATAATTTGAATAAAATCGCCTTTCAAAGCTGACGACAGGAGAAAAATTAAAAAGAAAAGGAGAAGAAGAAGAAAAAAAGCACTTACACTAAAAGCCTCAACTAACATTTTCACTTTCTGCGGGTGCAACAGATGGGAAAGAAAGCAAAGTTACAGAGACAGAAAATGAATATAAACACGTGTTATCAGAGGCAGATTTAAAAAAAGGCATCGTGCACAGGTTGGAAAATAGTCTCTGTGTCGAAAAGGTCCGATCAAGTTGCACACAGGTCCAAACGAAAGACACGCCCACACAAATGCGAGGAGACGCAGCAGAGGTTTCTAACCTGAGGCAGGGAGGTTTGATTAGTGCAGCGAAGGCTCGAACCGCTGTGGCTATTTAGCTGAAGGAAGGGCAGGGGTGGCTTCTAAAAGCAACACAAGACCGACAAGCTGACAAACATTAGAGATGATGTCTGAGCCTTTCTGACAAAATTTAATCAAAAGTAACCGAGGAGACAGAGAGAGATTGAAATCATTAACGTTTAACTAACGGGTTCCTCGAAGACGGATATTTCCTTCACGTGGAGGAACTGAAGAAAGCCTCTCGCTCTCTGAAATGTTTCAAAGACTCCTCCGGGCTACCTTGAGATTATTCAATGCTTACAACAGAGTGATTTGAAACTTCAAGGGAAACAGCACAGATGTAGTTACTGTGCTCTCTTAGGTGGCCGTCGTTGGCTGCATTTTAAAACAGCTACTACTGCTCTGACTCCACTGCTCAGATATATCATCCATTAAAAATGGTATTTATCTCATGATTCGGTTTATTGTCGTGGATTTCACTTTAGCCGCACTCAGCGCTGACCCCAGTGACTCTGGAGTGAATTAGTAGAACGTCTTCCTGCAGCCGCAGAGCCACAATTAATGCCCTTATTTTTTTCTCTTATACTTTCAGGGTTCCCCTGGAAAAATTACATTTTTTAAATATATACAGACTTTCACCCATCATAACTCAAATCCACATATATTACCATCCACGAGGTCGATTTAAACAGATTCTCCTGCAAGTTTGACTAATGAGCCTTGCTAATAATGTCTCCTTGTATCACTGGATGTGTTCCTGAACACATTAACAGCAATGCCGACAACTTAATTATTCATCGGCTAATTTATATTTAAGGCCATTTCTGAGGAAAAAAATATATACACGGCTGCAACCTTTTCAATGATTAAACTAATAGGAAAACGAAAAAGCAACTGGATGAAATACTAAAACGAAAATGTTTTTATGCCTTAAATATGTCCTCGACTTTTTACGTGCAGACTTTTTTTTCGTCTAGGTTTTATATGTTTTTAGCATAGACTGTATACAAAAATGGAGGCAGCCTAATGTATTCTTTTTAATGGCCAACAGGGGGCGACATCTCTGGCTATCGAAAGCAGACCAGTTGTTTAGAAGTCTATGACGAAATTACCTCCCTGTGCATTGGATTTAATAGTGCGGTACCTATTTTAGTGATGGGTTTATACTTAATTGCTAGCGTAATACAACACAATGTTGGCCCATTTAGAGTAAAATATACAGATATATGGGTGTGGTAATATATCCTCAGTTCTTAAATGCATATCAACCCGATTTTAAAAAAGAAATGGCCAAAGAGGACCAAAATCCTTAACTCGAGAGCTCAAAACAAGACAAAACTAAAAAGGCGGTGGCTGACGTTCGTCTATCAGTATGCCCTACAATACAGCACAAAAGATTTTTTGGCTGATATAAAGATAAAAAGTGCCAGCTGTGCTATTCCCACAAAAAGCTGGCAACCCTGATATTGTAGAGTTGATAATGACCATCTTTATATGAGGTATCAATTAAATTTTAATAAGCCCCGTGGTTAGAATCTAATGTGCATGTGCAATAAATGTCACCAAAGCTCACCTTCAGCACAGATGTGTCTAAAATAGTGGCCACATTGATTTTAGCGCTTGGTTAAAAGCAGCATTTGGGGTCGCTGACATTAAACAAATGATTCTGTTCTTTTTCTCCTGGAGGGAATTTAGAATTCTGCTTTATTTCCATTAATGCGCACATCATGTTTATTTCAAAGTCAAAGACGGACATAAAAAGAAAGACTCAGCCACCAGTCTGAGAGACAAAGGGAAAGAGTAGGGAGTGCAGATAATGCAACTAAGATAAAGTGTGACGGATAGCTTAAGCAATAAAATGAGGGAGACAAAAAGAGAAAGACAGATTACCTGACATGTGCGAGGTGGCATGTGTGTGAAAGCAGTGGTGTGTTTCTTTACTGCGGGCGATGAAACTGGGCAATAAACTGACTCGGGCTGAGAACGCCATGTAGAGGAACAGAGATGTAGGTTGAAGCAGCTCATATTGTAGTAACTACTTAAAACTGTTCTGAGTACTTTAAAGAACTAGTTTGGTATACAGTACTGTGTAAATGTCTTCAGTCACCCCAATTTCCTACATTTTGCTAGGAAAATGGAAAATGAGTAAACAGAGTTAATCATTTCCTGAAGTAGTCTTCAGGAATGACATTCAAAGCTCTTCTTTGGATGTTTCGGCCTGTTTGTTCTGTTCTCTTTCAAGATGATCCCACACTGCTTCAATAATGTTGAGGTCTGAGCTCTGGGGAGGCCAATTCATGACTGATAGTGTTTCATTGTGTGTTTCTCTATCCAGGTATGCTTTTACTGCGTTGGCAGTGTGTCTGGAATCATTGTCTTGTTGAAAAATGAAGCTGTTCTCAGGCAGACACTTTCCAGATGGCATTGCATGGTGGATCAAAATCTGATGGTACTTTTCTGCGGTCATAACTCCATCAGTTTTGTCAAGATCCCCACACCACTGACTGAACTTTATCCCGAAGCCATGACAGAGTCTCCACTGTGTGTTTTACAGATGCCTGTAGATACTGTTGTCCTTCTCTCCTGACCTCCTTCATACATATCAAAGATGATTTATACTGAGAACTTCAAATTTGCGTCACATCTCCATGACCCTGTTGCCACTGATTGTGTAATTTGGCATTACACTCAGCCTTTTCTCCCAGTTTCCCTTGAATTATTGACAGCCACCCGTCTACTGACACCATTTCTGATAAGGCATCAGTGAACAGTAGATGGATCAAGTGAACGGTCAGATGCATCTCTCAGGTTTTTTCCTAATTTTTTCCTACTTCTTAAAAGCTGACTTTCTTTAGTTCTTCACTTTTCAAGTTTCCTAAAAAATTTAAGGACAAACTGCACATCACGCTGAGATATGCCAAGC